CTCTGCACCTTCCAATGTAAGGATGCGATTAGTCGATTCCATCTTGGCCTTCACGGTGACGGGAAACAGGCCTAGAAATTAAAATAATAAACAAATCAGATCAAATTAAAATGAACAATCTGTTGCCGATTGCATGCAGAAAACTGAGCACAGGGAAGGAAAAATGCATAAACAGCACAGTTCAATTTACGTGTTGAAACTTCAAAGCAGTTCGTTTTCGCTTCTGCTGGCGCTTCTGCTGTCTTCTTGCATGCCTCCTTGACCACTACGGGAACCGCAGCTGCGCGGCTATTCACGGTGTCGCCAACGGTTTCTGTTGGTATAAGTTGCATTGCCTAAATAGAAGTAAACCGTATATGCGGTAGTGATAGCAATGAGTGAAGGTGAAACCGCTGTGCAAACTGCTGTTACATTTCAAATGTTAGGCTAAAGAGAAAGTAGTTGGCTTACATCTGGTACGAATGGAAGAGGAAAATTAGTTTGTTCGATTGGGCCTCCTGTGGGTACAGTTTCTTCGCTTCGGAGCTGTTTCTTTTCAACTAAGTTACCATCGTTTCCAATTGTGTATTTCGCCTTAGCCACATCTTTGACCATAAATTGAACCTCTGTGTATTTTTTTCTGTCATCAATAATGAAGTGCACTTTGGATGTTTCTAAAAAGCGAAATTAACATTTAGATCCTTGTCTGAGATAAAAGAGTATTGAGTTTATGCGTTAATGTTAAATTAAGGTCAATATTGCGAAGTAGCTGATTCAAAAAACGGTGGTACTGCACTTACCGCTTTGATTATAGCACTCAATATCCGTCTTCACTTCTGCTGGTGTTGTCGCACAAGCTTTACAGTCAACACCATCTAATTTGGCCGACTGTGGAGTAAGTTGTGTAAGTCAACAGGATTTGCCTACCGTGATTTTAAATCCGGCCTCAAATGTTTCTGTGAATATTTTTTTTTGGATCCACTGTGATTGTAAGAGCCTCGGCCCGGGCATTGCCTGCATGGTGAAATACACATTTTTTATAGAGTGAACAATGGTCATTTCATATCATTGCATATCATTGTAAGCATGTCCCATCAGAGCTTACCTAGCAGCACTAATGCGAGGAAGAACGTTGACGTTATCATGATATGATGTGCTAAAATAACAAGGGAAGAATACGAAATCATAGAAGATCGCATGACATAAACAAATACGCTCACATATTCAGAAAACCTCCTGAATTTGCATGCGTCATTTTAATCGGATAATTAAACTTAGTGCAAGAATTGATAAGTGCACATGTGCGTTCTTAACGACTCCAATTAGTTTGACAATAACATCACAAAATGGTTTTAACGTCAAGTAGTAAAATAAACGATTTTAGCTCACCTCGAAGCGAGACGTGCCTTTGCGCAATGCAGTAATTGTCAGCAGGCGAGAAATACTCGGGCAGCCAGAGGATGCCTGACTGAGTTAGGGCGAAGTGTGCAGTTCTTTTATAGATCAAATGTGTCTTCTAAGTGCGTCAGATAATCGCAGCGCGCAGACGCCTTTTCAATGGTGCTTACATCAGTGCGATCGAACCTTTGCTGGCGCGTTAGGTCATCGGTCTATCCTATTGCGCGCAAGCTAGAGCTTTTGTTTCTTAACCGTTTGCAAAACATTTGATGTTACCTTGTGTAATAGCAATAGCTTGTCCCCAAAGAGGACGGACTCACTCGATGACACGGTTTAAGTATGCAAACATTGAGGACTGATAATCGAAGGAAATATTTGAAAACAAACGAGGAGAGAATTTTTAAACTTTCAACACCAATATAATTTTTGTCTGAGGTTTGCTAGATGTATGATATGCAGCGGTATTCATCACATTGTCAGATTATATACATTTATAGACATTCTTTTAAATAGTCCGATTATTCAAAGGGACTGTTTTTCGAATAAGTATATGCGATGTAACATAACATACCTCAGCTGCGTATGACCATGACCATGTTATCACCTCTTATGATCAAGGATTTCCGAGAGAATCCGAAACGTCAAGCAAATATAACTCGTGTTTCAGTGATCGCGTCTTCTTTTTCTGAACTGCTTCCCGGGATTCGAATTTTCTCTACTAGTGGCAAGACAAACATTTCCTGTCATGGGCCCCATGAAAAACTAAACTGGTGAGTAAATGATAATGAGCAGTTCACTTGA